CCGCAGTCTCCACCATCTTCTACCCCGAACCCCCGCGCCGCATGACAACCCGCGCCCAAGCAAACCAAGCCCTAAACCAGCCCACAACCCCCACCTCCGGTACCGGCCGCTCCGGCTCACCCGCACTCGACAACTCGGACCACGACGACCTCCCCGTGCACCCCCTCTTCCTCCTGCCGCCCACCCACCTCGACCGCACCTGCGGCCTGCCCCCCGCCGAAGCCGATGAGGTCCGCCGCATGCTCTGGTCGTACATTCAGAAGCAGGAAGAGACCGTGCGCGCGTCGCTGCGCATGTATCACATGCTGCTGGGCGCGTGTCGGAAGAAGGATCTTGTGTGGGAGTGGTGTAAGGCTGAGGGCCATGTGGGGGAGATGAGTGATGGGGAGGATTGGTATGATCGCGAGCACTTGGGGTTGGGGGAGGGGGAGGAGTTGAGGAAGGGGGCTGATGAGGATGAAGGGGAGGGGGTGGTGGAGGAGGGGAGGGCGACGGGGAAGAGGGGGAGGGGGAGGAGGGGGTGACAGTGATGGTTGATGGCGAGGGTGAGGGTTGTGATCGCATATAGGTGCCTCCAAAGCAGATACGGGTAGTTAAGAGGGTTCTTGTTTGCTTATTTTTCTTTTCATCATCTTCTTCTTCTTCTTCTTTGGTTTCATTTACGTCATTGGGTTTGGCGGCGATCTCTAATATTTTCTTTCTTTCTTCGTTATTCTTATTAATATTTTTTTATTATTTTTTTTTATTATTTTTTTTTTTTTTGGCGATGGATTGGCCCCGCCCTCACTTTCTTAGTCTTGCACTTTTCCACCCCCTGATAAATGGGTATGATCGAGATTTGCTTGTTTCGGTGGCTCTTTTGACCTCCTTCTCCCCAGGCCCCTCTTCTTCCTCCTGAGGTTGTTGTTGTTGTTGTTGTTGCTGTTGCTGTTGCTGTTGTTGCAAATCGCACCATCTCTTTTTGCTCTCCTTTTTCTCAGAAGATAGCCCGCGGATAAAAAACTAATGTAAATGATACACCCTCCCCGTCTCCGTCTCCTCTCTTCTTAACCTTTTGTTCGTATCACCGCTCATGAAGTTGTTTCCACACTCTTCGTCATTGAATTTTACATCCCATGTAAGAAATAAGAAAGAGAAGAAAAGGCCGGATATATATGTGTACCAAGGGAACCACCGTCTATATATATATATTTCCAGTCAACCCGGCGTATAGAATCCATCCCATCCACTTCTAAAGAGTAACATGTAAAAAAAAGAAATGAAAAGAAAGAACTATATGCACCACCTTGCCTCCGTCTTCCCCGCCTCCCCTTACAAATCCCCTTCCCACATCGAAGCCGATCGATCGTTGAAGATCCATCGATCGCCCCTCTTCATCTGGGGGTACACTGCTACCCCCACTCACCACTATTAACCCTATGTGTACCTGCGGGCCCCATATGCATGTATATGATGGTATTATGGATAAAGCGAATAAAAGGGCAAGACTGCATCGTAGATAAACTGCCCATGTAGAGAAGAGAAAGGGAAAAGAAGGGCCAAGCAAACTGAGGTATCATGTCATATATGGTTTCTGTTGACTTGGGGGGGGGGGGGGGGGGGGGGGATGTTGAAAACCCAAACCGGCCCGGGGGAAAGGTTTTGAAAGCCAACCCCCCCAAAGAAATGGGGGGGCCCCATTTTCTTTTTTGTTTTTGGGCCGGGGGGGGCGGTTTCCCCCCCCCTTTTTTGGGCGGGCTTCCCCCCCTTTTTGGATTGGAAAAGGGCCCCCCCCCCCCTGGGAATTTTTTTTCCCAGAAAAGGGCTGCCCTAGAAAAGGGAGAGGGGTTTATATTATAATTGGGCAAATAAATTTATTTTTCTCCTGGGGGGGGGGGGGGGTATTTT